TTTTTTTTTTTTTTTTGAAATTTTCATGGTGCTTTCATTAGAAATATGCTGCAATAATGTCAGGTGGGGATAGATCCCAATACATAATAGTAGGCTGCTGGAACGCAGCGGATGCTAGCGCATGAGCCAAATAATTATCTGATCTAGGTATGAAACTAAAAGAACAAAAATCAATTGAAGTTGCAATAGACTTACAGCTATCAAGAGCATAACCAACATACGAACGAACTGTAGACGGGGTGAGACAAGATATCGTTGCAATGATAGGCAATCTGTGTAAAGATGTACTGATGTTTCACCCCGGTTTTTAAGCCATGATAACGCTTCTTTGCACCCAAACACCTCCGCTATGAGTGGTGAGAAGCAAACTGGAAGAGGGGCACTGAATGCTGCCACATATCCACCATTTGCATCGAGTAAAACCGCCCCTACCGTTGCCGCACCCGAGTTGTGAAGGTAGCCGGCATCCACGCGGCATGTCTTGGGTAGCACTGTCGCCGTGTTGGGGGGTATGGTGGGCGTGAGACCATGCGGCAGTGGCAGTCCTCCAACAGGCTCCTGTTGTTGTGGCTGTGTCGCAGCTGCGGACGGCAGCCGTGCATTGCGCTATGCTTCCACGGTTGCCGTGACCGTGGCTAGGAGTTTCGTGGGTCGTGGCATAGCGGCATCCCATACTGCTCCATTCCGTGCTCTCCAAATATGATACAAGATTGCTGTTGCATATAATATTCCATTAGAGTCTAGAATATTTAGGAGATCAGAGAACCAAGTATGAAAAACATTCGTCACAATATTGGGGATTGGAAGGCTAGATCGTTCCCAAATGGCTTTCGCAAAATCACATAACACCAAAGCATGCATAGTATCTTCTTGAACAATTCCACACATAGCACAATTTGGGTCCACCTCCACTCTCTTTATAATCAAATTTGTAGTGGTTGGGAGGATATCACTAATTTCCCTCCATAGAAAAGTTTTCCATTTGGGTGGGATTTTGAGGCTCCATAGGGTGAGCCATTTATCAAAAGATCCATCATTATGCTCATAGTTTCCAACAATGCGTCTATACCCATTCTTAACTGAGTAGATCCCTTTTGGGTCCCCATGCCAATACCAAGAGTTGTCATATTCTGGGGAAACGGGTATCCTCTTTATATTCTCCACATCTATAGGTTGGAACAAATCAGTAAGAGTTGAATGATCCCACGTACCAGTGTCCTGGTCAATTAACCCCACAACCTTCGCATCCGCTAATTGCACAGGCATCTCTGTCTGTATCATAGGTTCCTGATCATCCTGTATCCATGGATGTGCCCATATAGATGTGGTCTTACCATTTCCAATCCTGCGCCTGACCCCACTACAAACCAGGCTCTTCGCTGCCATAATACTTCGCCAGCAAAAACTAGGGTTCCCCATTTCTGCCTCAAAAAACGAATTCCTGGGATAATATCTAGCCTTATAAACAGACGCACCAAAGATTCTGACTTGGTAAGTAGGCGCCACGCCTGCTTCCCTAGCATGGCTAAATTAAACGTCCACAGGTCTTTAAAGCCCAGTCCCCCATGCTTCTTCGGGATATACAACTTGTCCCATGTTTTTCAATGTATTCCTTGACTATTACCAGCTCCCCACCAATAACGGTTCATAACTCTCTCAATTGCCATACACATAGTCGCAGGTAGCAAAAAAACACTCATTGGAAAAGTAGGCATAGACTGTGCTACACTTTTCAACAAGATTTCTTTACCAGCCTGTGACAGCAGCTTCTTATTCCATGACCCAATCCTGTGCCTGATTTTGTTGTAAATTGTAATACAATATTGCATAAAACACAAAATTCTTATATTGAAATTCTTGTTTTGGCCATATAAGAAATAGGCCATCAACAAACTATATTTTAATTGTGGTCCGAGTCCAGGTCCACCCGGTTCGTTCTGAGAGGCACAGAAAGCTTTGCATAAAACACAAAATTCTTATATTGAAATTCTTGTTTTGACCATATAAGAAATAAGCCATCAACAAACTATATTTTAATTGTGGTCCGAGTCCAGGTCCACCCGGTTCGTTCTGAGAGGAACAGAAGCTGGCCCAAAGGGCCAAATCATCACTTGTGGGAATCGAACCCGAGTTATCCCAAAATTCTCTCCCACAAAGAGAGCTCGTTTGCCACTTGAGCTACCCTATTGGATTGTATATATATATATATACTAATAAGAGCCCAAGAGAGTTAGGCCTATAATGGGTAGAAAATGTGTCCGTCACAGATTTTAATCAAATGAATGGCTCAGATTAATCAAAAAATTGATCAGATTTAAATTTAACAATGAAATTTACTTAAATACCCACACACCGTTAGTCCATCCGTTAAAATTTTTAATTAACCGTTAGTTTGCCGTTAAGTCAATCCCATCCTTAGTTGACCGTGAGTCCTCTATAATAGTTATTATCCTTAGTTGATCTCCACAGCCGACTCACCCGTCTTCACCTCCTCCGAAGCCATCCAAAGAAAAATAACATAATTCAGAAGCTCAGCCGATCAGACTGTCGATATCGATTCCTCGAGAGGATCGATCGGCGCTCTAGCAATTTATGTATGCCTCTCTATTCGTTCATGGTCAAGAGGCCTAAGAACTTTAACCCTAACACTGCCGATCTAAACAAAGCAACGCGAGACAACACAGAAGAGACTGAACAACGTTGAATCAAATCATCCTCAGTTTTATCCTACGCAATTTTATCTGAAAAGGTTAGTTTTTTTTTTTTAAAAAAATATTAAAATAAATAAAAATCCCATCTTGTTTTTCCCCTTTCTCATTCGTTGATTAAACTTCATTCTTGGCAATTTCTGTTGTTGTGTGCCCTAAGATTCTGTGATTACTTGGAGGAATCTGAATAACATTTTAAAGTTTTGATCTCACTTTGCCTGCATAATTTTTTTTGTTCTGATGCTAGGCTTATATTCATTTAATCTAAAATTGATTTGATTTTACTCTTTTACAAGTATCAGTCATGTATGATCTGAAGCTAATTGCTTGATAAATTGTAAATTAATTTTTTTTTTTTTTTTGTATGTTAGAAGGTTCATCCCGTGGCAATATTGTGACTGACGTGTTGTTACTAAAAGATTTTTTTTTTTTTTTTTTTTTTTTTTTTTTTTTTTTTTTTACCATGATGCTACCCCTTTTTTAATTTTTATATTTTAAGTTGATTCATAGCACTGTAAGTCTCAGTTTTACAGAATGTTGTCTGTGCATATTAAGTATGATAAGCTTTCCCTTATGGAGTGCCTCACACTGCTTTGAATAGATTGTGGAGCTCTGGACCAAGAGAAACTTTAGGTGTGATTGTGGAAATTCAAAATTTGGGGAAATCTTCTGTAAGCTTCTTGCAAGCAAAGACGTAGAAAATCCACAGAACTTGAGATAATGCCCAATATTTTATATAGTATTGGCAAATGGCTTATACTGCTCATTCTACTGAAATGTACCTCCTTTAGTTTTAATTAAATGATGGGATTGTATAATTAGTTCTGTTTCATTCTCTAGCTCTGGCGGCTTATGTTCACTCATTACTATGGGATCTGACAAGTTGTTAGTACACAGGTGGAACAGCCTTTAATGGTGTTGCAGAAGAGCTTAAGAAGTTAACTACTTGTGTTGCTCATGTTCTTCCTGTTTCTGATGATGGTGGAAGTACAGCTGAGATTGTCCGAGTTCTTGGTAAGTGTTTTTTAAAATTTATTATTTTGTGTTTTACCATAACCCTTGATTTCTTGACAGTAAATCTTTGTATTAGTATGAAAGTACTCATCACTGTAAGTAATTTCACATTATGTTCATCCTTGCTTTTCTGCGGATACTCGACGTTCTGAACCACTTTGGCTAAGATTAGGAGTATGTAGTCGGTGAATTAGTATGTCTGATAATATATGTAGCTATTACCTTGCGCCCCAAAAATGGAAAAGAATGGGAAAAATTTGTTTAGATGTTCTGAACCATTTTTTTTTTAATGTTTAAACTGCTTTGGTAAGATAATTGACATTGCCAATAATGACTATATGGTGAATAGGTATGATATTGTGGAAGGGAACCATAACCTTTGGAAAGGCGTCTCAAAACCTTACAGGGAAACTATACGAGCTTTCTTGGCTTAAGGTCAAGACCAGGTTCGTAGTTGTTTTATCAACCTTATCTCTCAATTGCAGCTATTCTTGGACTTTGCCTTCCCTGTCATTCTTTTAAATGTAAAATCTGTAATTAGCTTTGGAATTGTTAACATTTCTTGGATTAAACTGATGAAACTTCACTTTTTTACAATCTGATGATTTTCTTCATTGCTATGATCTTTTAGTATTGGAGTCAGATCATATTTTCTATAACTTTGGATGATTGTGTACACAATACGGTGTATTGAAATTCAAGTTTAGGCTCTCTTTGGCCGATACCATGGGCATATAGAATGAACCATTGTTTTATATAGTATTTCTTTTTAAGGTTAGTATAGTGTAAAAGAATTGGTATGAATAATACCTGTAATAATCCATTAGATTAAATTATTGCTCTTTAAATTTGGTAGCATGAAAAGGATTAGAAATATATCAGTCTACATACATCATAGAAGGACATATGGAGTTTATATTTCAAAAGAAATTATTTCATAATCACTCAATCAGAATAAGTCATTCTGCAAAGCTTACTAGAGAAAAAAAATAATTGGCATAGCCTGACTGAGGATTAGCATAATTTCCATTATAACCTGCAACTGTTGAAAACAAAATCCTGTCAAGCAAGTTTAGCAATGCCTTAATTGTTCATGACATTAAAACTTATGCATGTAAGTACAAAATTCTGATAATTAACATGCATTTGATTGATGCAATTGATTCCGGGACAGTAATCCCAGGTCCTATACTCAAATTTCTTACTGATGAGAGAATTTGCTTTGTCGATTTTTTCTGTTTTTAGTTATGACCATTTTTTGAATTTTTCATTTTTTTAGCATCTCTCTTTATGGAGTCAGGGCGTTCTGGAATTGCTGAATCTATTCAAAAAAAAAACTATAGAAATCCAGATCCTGAAAATGTTAATCTCCACAAATAAGTCTGAAAGGATACTGTAGGACTGTAATTTAGATATCACTTCAAGCAAATGAAAAGCTGTATACTGTAGGACTGTAATTTAGATATCACTTCAAGCAATCAAGCATCAAAATAAAAATTCACATGGTAATTAGAATAGCAAAGCCACCCACATCAAAATAAAAATTCCCATGGTAATTAGAATAGCAAAGCCACCCACACTGGCAAATGGTTTCCTTATTATAAATATCATTTTTTTTATCTTCTAAACATACATCTGTAAGCAAATTTAGTATAGTTTACCACTTACCAGCTTCTCTTTGCCAAGGGCCTCTGATTTCACCTTCTTGTCCTTGTTCTTCAATGACAGTTCCCAATCTTGTAGATTATTCAATAGCCCCTCAAAACCCTGCTTAACAAGTATGCTGCTCAAGCTAATATAAACTCAAAATGGCCAATAACTTGCAAGGAAAAACTGAAAACTATTTATATGCACAATAACTGAATTAATAATATTCAAATTTCAAGCAAAATGCTAAACAGAAAAATAAAAATAAAAATAAAAATAAAAATAAAAATAAAATCCATTCTTACTGACTCCTGTGCATCTATCTAAAGTTCAAATTTTCTTTCTATCTCAAGGCAAAATCCGCCAAAATACTCCCTTCAATTTAGAGTCTTTCAACCCTCCCTTCTTTCTATTATTTGGGAACTGTTTTAATTTTTTTTATTATGAAATTTCAAAGAAAAATGTGCAGTTTGTGACTTTGCGTTAAGAAAATACCCCCAACCAAAAAAAAAAAAAAAGCATTATGTACAGCAGCAGCATATGAACATACAAATGCGAATACACATTCAATTACTTATCATCATCTACAGCATTTCCAGGACAACATTTTGTTTGCAGAATGTAACTGCAATTGCAGTAGTATACTATATAGTAATTTGAGTGCCAAAGTAATCATATTAAAGATACTAACCAAACCAGTATGTCCAAATTTCTTACTGATGAGAGAATTTGCTTTGTCGGTTTTTGAATTTTTCATTTTTTTAGCATATCTCTTTATGGAGTCAGGGCGTTCTGGAATTGCTGAATCTAGCGATGCAGAGAGTCAACGAGCGGAGTACAACTTGAAACGACGAAATGCATACTCAATAATGGATCCTGATAAAAAACGAAAGATGTTAGATGAGAAAAACGAAAAGCGTCGAGCCAAACTTAGAGAAGCCCAGTCTTCGCAACTTCATGCCGTCAATACTGGTATGCTTTTTAATTCTTAAAATATGTGTTCTGTCTGAGTTAAATTCATGAACGTATATACAAGGGAGCTAACTTACTTAACATGCCTTTGATTGATGCAATTGATTATGCAATTAGAAATAGTACCCAATAATACCAATCAGGAATGTTTGCAACGGAACGATACTCTTTCTTCTATTCCAGACCAATCTTTTGTTCTTAAAGATTGTCCTCCTTGCACCTATTGTAATGCAAGGCGATTCCAATATGAACCACCTGGATTTTGTTGCTCATCTGGTCAAGTTGTTTTGGTGTCTAATGAAATGCCTTCACTCTTGAAACAATTGTTTTGTGAGAAAGATGAAGTGTCACGTCATTTTCAAGCATGTGTTAGAACGTATAACAACACATTTGCATTTACTTCATTAGGCATACACAACTACGACAAACAATTATCTAGGAGGAATAAAGAGATCTATACATTTAAAGTTCAAGGACAAATGTATCATTTTATCAATGATTTGGTGCCAGGGGACCAACCTCCTAAAAACTTGCAATTGTATTTCTTTGATACTGACCATGAGGTTGAGAATAGAATCAAAGGGGTAGAACGAATGGATGCAAGTGTTGTTGAAAACCTTATTGACGTACTTGGAAGCAATCCGTATTCACAGTTCTTCAGAAATCTCAAGGATATATCAAGTCTTGATGATTGTAATATTCTGATTTGTTCAAATGCAAGTCTAGATCAACGTGTTTACAACATGCCTACCTCTTCTCAAGTTGCAGCAATTTGGGTAGATGAACAAGATGGTAGTGGTCAGAACAATCGTGATATTAGAGTTTTTGCAAAAACTGGCCAATCACATTCTGTGAAATACTATTACGGTTGTTATGATCCCTTGCAATATCCTCTGTTGTTCCCCTACGGAGAGAGTGGTTGGCATGAGGGTATATCTAAGGTTCCTAAATCTTATCAAAATAATTATTCTATTTGTCAAGGTATTCTCCAGCCTCGGGGGTTTTCTTCAATACAAGCTTTGTTAAACAAAGAGAACGAAAACTTTGTTAGTCAGAGCAAGCGGAACACTGTTTCATGCAGAGAATATTATGCTTATCGTTTTCAAATTCGACCAAATGATTAATCTATGCTCCTACATTCAGGAAGACTCTTTCAACAATTCATTGTTGACACCTATATCAAAATTGAGACACAGAGATTGGACTATTTTCGAACACAGCAGCGTGAAGCATTGCATGTGGGGAAACAAATGCATCAAATGTGGGACGCAGAGTAATTTTACCGGTTTCTTTCATTGGAGGCCCACGAGATATGCGTAAAAGATATATGAATGCTATGACATTGGTTCAACGATATGGTAAGCCAGATTTTTTTTGACAATGACGTGTAACCCAAATTGGTCTGAGATTAAAAATTCGCTTGAATATTGTGATGAATCTCAAAATAGGCCTGATTTGATTTCAAGAGTGTTTCGTGCTAAGTTGGAAGAATTGAAAGTTGACCTCATAAAGAAAAAACTTTTTGGAGTGGTGATAGCATACACTTATGTGATTGAATTCCAAAAGCGTGGTCTCCCACATGCTCATTTCTTATTAATCTTAGAGAAAAACCACAAATTTTACTCGGGTAGGGATGTTGATGCAATTCTTAGTGCAGAAATACCTGATTCAGTTCAAAACCCTTCTTTGCACTCCTTAGTGGCCAAACACATGATACATGGACCATGTGGTTCTCTGAATCCTCAAAATCCATGTATGGTTGAGAATTCCGGTGTTTCACTTTGCAAAAGTAAATATCCCAAGAGATTTTCTGATGCAACAGTTTTGGGAGAGAATTCATATCCTACTTATAAGCGCAGGGACAATTCAAGGTTTGTTACCGTTCGTGGCCACCAATTGGACAACAAATGGGCGATACCATATAACTCATATTTGTTATCTAAATTTGATTGTCATATCAATGTTGAAGTTTGTGCAACTATTAAGTGTGTAAAGTACATATACAAGTATATAAATAAAGGTCATGATAGAGTTGCATTTAATTTATCTTCTGGAGAAGAGATCATACGTATATTAATATTTCGTTTAATTCTGTCACATGAGAATATATGGCACACATCTCACAATGAATGGAACATGTAGGGGAAAAAACTACCACTCCTAAATATCAACAAGCGCCTACAAGATCAAGAGTTCATTGTACAACTAAGATCTCAGGCATATACGCAACAAGGCAGATCCACTTCTTCCTACAGTATAATCTCATTGCATGATGCTTCCCACTATGATATTACAACTAACACAATTGAGCATGGCGCACTACCAAATCAAAAGAAGAGGATGTGTACTGAAGGTGAAGATCAAGAGAATGACAATGCCTCCCTCAAGAGAATTAAGAAGGCTTGGAGAAATTTATTAAACCAAATGTAGATTTTATTTAGACTATTATTTTTAGATTTAGACTAGCATTATTTACACTATTATTTTTAGACTAGCATTATTTACACTATTATTTTTAGACTATGTATTTAGAAAATTACAACCAATTATTTTAGTGACAATTATAATCAATCATAATTGCATTATCTTACATTCGTAAGTTTAGATTATCTATTTAAATAAGCAAATTCAACATTTGATTATCTATATGTATGACCATATGACCAACTCTAATATAATCTTGCATTGATATACTTAAAGTACTTCATAAAAATATAAACATTGGGCATTATCTCAATCGCGCAATGCGCGTGAAAAACTAGTATATATATATATATATATATATATATATATATATATATATATATATATATATATATATATATACGGTAAACCTATGTTTGCTCAAGGATGCGGTCAAAGAAATATTCGAATGATAGAGGAGCTATCAAGACTTTTCGGCCCGCATTGAATGCCGGCCCGCTCGTTGAAGATATGAGACTTTCATCTTGTACAGCTCAAGCAAAAATGCCCAAATACGGTATCGAGCTGGAACAACCTGGTCTTCTTAAATATCCTGATTCAAGGCCAAAGAATTTCCTGCATAGGCCAACTAAACGGTATTCCCGTAGCAATTGGGGTTATGGGATTTCCTCCGCTTAATGGATAACCATTTGCTACCAATGGATCTGGGTGTCCGATCCTTATGGACTAACGGGAAAAGTACAACCTGTAAACCCAGCAAAAAGGAAGAAACTCTTAGAATGGCAGAGGCAAATAGAGCTTTTGCGCATTTTCGAGATTTTTTACTTATATATATATATATATATATATATATATATATATATATATATATATATATATATATATATATATATATATATATATATATATATATAATGGAAGTTTGTTCAAACGCGGTCGCGGCTTCCCGTGCGGCCGTTTGAAGGATACACCAATAGTGTTAACAAAATGCACCAATAGTGTAGAAAAATACACAACAATGAAATACAAAAATACACCAAAAAATGCACAACACACCCAAAAAAAATACACTATATAACTCCCCACCCCTAATGATGCATTTCTGAACACCATATATATGAGATTATATATATATATATATATTGAAAAACCACAGATTCAACTCGTGTGCTACTGATTTTTTAATTTTTTTTTATCATACAAACTCTCAAATTCTTCAATTCTCTTGACAGATAATTAAAATTACGTAGTATTATTTTACAATTTTTGTTTATTATTTTATTTACATGACTTAATAATTCTTATTTCAGAATAATATATTCAAGAATTCATTTCTTGATTAATTATTTATTCATAGAGTTTCTAAATAAATATATATTTTTTTCTTAGGATTATATGTCTTCTAGAAAATATTCATCTGAGTTTGAGAAGCGTAAAGAGAAAAGAAGAATTGAGCAACTAACTTAATCTCAAAAGGAAGCTCTTGAAAAATTCATTACAAAAAAAAAAAAAAAAAAAAAAAACTCAAATAGATGACCAAAAAATATGTCAATGAAAAATTGTTAGATGCTAATCTTCATATAGAAGATCAAGATGATTGTGAGATTGTAAAGAATTTAAATGATAAGGTGCACAACAATGATAAGTATCACTGTGACAATGAAAATAATAAGAATGTTGATAGTTGTTTAGATAATGTTGGTCAGAGTGATAAACCAAATAATTCGCTTTTATTTGACATATATGATTCAAGAAATTGGGATGTCATTGATTCTAAATTAATATATATTATTCTGAAAGATGATCCTAAAAGAGATTTATAAATAAATAAAGGTCCTAAAGATAAATTCTTTAGAAGATTTACATCAGCATTTTACCCAAGATATTTGCCAAATGGAGAGAAGTGTGATCGAGATTGGCTTATATATTCAAAAGAACTTGACAAGGTGTTTTGTTTTTGTTGCAAGATTTTTTTAAAAAGTATAGGAAAATGTGTTTTGGTCAATGAAGGTTTAGGGATTGAACACATCTAGGTGTTAGACTTAAAGAGCATGAAACGATTGTAGATCATATAACTAATATGACAACTTGGATGGAGTTGCGTCTTAGATTACAAAAAAATGAGACAATTGATAAAGTGTGAATGATTTTGCATCGACCAGGACTATGTGGTCTAATGGTATCCGGGTTGGACTTCCATTTGGAAGATTATGAGTTCAAGCCTCAGTGGAGGCGTTATTGGTTCTTTGTGTTTCAGTAGGTTGAGAAAGTATATGAACAGATACTACAATGTAATAGAGCCAGTAACTTACGCATGTCACTTTTTAAATAAAATTTTAGATGTATTTTTTTATACAATATTTATATTTTGAATTTTTGACACAACTTTTTGAACAACTATTATTTATATATATAAATTATTTAAAAGAAGGGGGCCCAAATTAAAATATTGCACAGGATCCCAATTTTTATTGGAACGGCCCTATATATATATATATATATATATATATATATATATATATATATATATATATATATATATATATATACACTAGTATTGTCCCGTGCGATGCACGGCTAAATATTAAAGATTTTGTTTTTAATGTTATAATAATAGATAAAAAAATATTTTTATTTATTAAATGCCAACTATAATAATGGTATTTGAACTTTGAAGTACTAACAAAGAGAACATACTTTCAAACAAAAAAACAAAGAGAACATGAATCACGTACAATTTAATTTTTGAGAATAATAAATTGATATTATATTGTATATTATGTACATGACAAAATTAAACATTTTATGGTAAACCATCGTACTGTTTAACTTGATATCTGCTGACGTGGCTATTCATATTATTGCTATCAATGTATTTTGCTTGAGAAATGAGTAGGACATTACTTAGCCGACTTACTTGCATTGGTAATACAAAATAATGAAAAATAACTTGTAAAAATAAAAAAGTATGTCAACTAAGCCGCTACATTTAAATTATTATTATTATTTGAATTTGAATAACGAATGCAATTATATATCTAACATATTGAAATAAAATTTGTAAATAAAAGAAAAAATATGAAATTAAGATATTAAGATTAAGCTTAAGATATTAAGATATTTAAGATTTAAGATACTTATTAAAAAGAAGAATAAAAATTACAAATTATTAAAAATTTCATGATAAGAACCATTAATAGTTGAAGTACTAACATTATATAAATCCACTACATACCAATATATATTTTTTTTTTTATTACAAAGGAAAGGGGATACCTATATACTATCTACGCCTACACCAAGGCTCGAACCTAAGACATCCCACATAAGGGGCCAATCAGATACCAGTGGACCACAAGCCACTTGATACATACCAATATTTTTAATCCTTTGCAATTGCTAATCCGAAATGCAGCCACGAACACTGACCATACACCAGTTTCTTCAATAATAGCCCAACATGTAATAGAGTTTGTGTCTAACTTTTATTAATAATCATTACATATAACAACATAAGTCACAATTGCTTCCTTTAAAATTTGAATAGTAGTCTTCGATTAGAAGGCATCATTTTCATGAGGAACTCATACGATAATTCTTACATTGCTATCAAAAAGTATTTTCCCTTCAATGATATGTTGTGACAGTTTGGTTATAAGACCAATGATACCTCTCTCCACTTCGCTAAATCAATGGCCTTTCACAGCAACCAAAACTCTAACTTGAACGTTGGAACATACATTTTTTTAGTCCAAGTACACTTAGAATGAATCTTTCTTTCATTAATTAAAACTTTTTT